TTGCGGTTTGAAAAGAAGTTTCTCGTTGGTTAAATATTCAGAAATACTTCTAACCGGTGACTGTATTGACTGACAGAGGTTCCCCGTTAATTAAAAGTGTTCTGAAGATAATGGGTTCCTCGTAGTTTAAATGTCCCTGTTGGACTGACTGATCGACGACTGACTGCCGATAACTGACTGCTGACTGCTGACGGACGACGACTGACTACTGACGGACTGCTGACGGACTGCCGACGGACTGCCGACGGACTGCCGACGACTGACTGCCCGTGGCGCTTGCCTTTTTATACTAATGCGAAGGGATGAACTAGGCGGTGGCGCGATACCTTTGGACTAGGGTGGTGATCACCATCCCTTGTTTTCTTAGAATTCTGTGACTGTGTTGGTCTTCGTAGGTGTAGGCTTTTAACACTGTAGATTTGTTGGATATTCTTTATTTTCATGTGATCCTGATTCTATGTCTGAGAATATTATAACAAGGCATAGGCTTGATAGTTGTGCGTCCTCCAGGTTTTTGGATTAGTGTAGAAGGCTTCCTGAGAATTCTATTAGTGTATTTGGCTTGTATATGAGAGACCTTTAACACAATAGGTCTGCTGGACATAAACACGGTTAATACACATTGAGTGACGGATATTCATTGGTTAATCCTTATAAGGGTATAAACTCGGTGTTTACGCTTCTTTTTCTCCTGGAGTCCTGATTCTCACGCGTGTGAATACCTGGCGACGAGACGCACCCCTAGGTTTGGAATGAAGCGTCTATGTTTTCTGTTCTCCTGTTCTTTTTAGTCACATAAACGTTGCTTCGTTCGGTGTCTATTCCTTCATTGGCATTCCTCAATCGATATTGTGTCTTCTTCTTCTTCTATTTCATTGTATCCTGATCCTTCTAGTCCAGTTGTCTTCCAGTAAAAATACTTATTAAATTTACCAAAATTTCTAACCGTAACATTTCCCTGCTCAAACGACTTTCCGTTCGGAGACATGGCTAACGGAACTTTCCGTGTAGATACCTCTATAGCTGAGGACAATCTCACTCCTCAAATTCAAATGCTAGCTAAAGAACTCCACGATGCCCTCCCGTACTTCAACGAAGAAGGACCTACTGCCGTCAAAGATTTTGAATTATTCGACGGGATAGTTAGAAACTGGCGACCGAGTATTCCAGCAGAGAAACAAGATTTCTTTGCTCGCCGTATAGCCCAAAAATTATACGGACGAGTCAAGAGATTAGTCGAACATGTCGAATTAACTTCAGTAGAAGATATTTTACTTGTGTTAGGTCGAAAACTTAAAAGGGGCGATCCTTACATCACGTGGCAGAAAAACTTAGCCGCGGCGGCCCCCACGGAATCTGAGAATATCGAAGATTTCTATTATCGGTTAAGTGAGAGGGTTACTCGTATTGAGCTCAACGCTCCCGAAGCCGATAGGGCCGTAGTGAAACGGACCTTTGAAAAAACAGCTGCTAATACTTTGTACGAATACTTACCAGAATTTTTACGATGCCTGTGTAAAATCAAAAAGGCGGAAACGCTAGATAACATGTACAAAGCCATCGAAAATGACGCGTACAGAAGACCGGAACGTAGACCCGCTATGAGAGATGACGGACTCACACCAGGAGAATCCTTTCCACCCTCAGTGGAAGTTCACAGACGATCAAGACAAGACGGTAACCGACATTACCCACAAATGCCGAGATCTTCTCGAGATTACGATGACAGAGGTAACTATCGCGAATTACCTCGCACTTTAACGTATCAAGAATACGGTCAGGCTCCAATGACGAGCACCTCTGGACCAATACACTCGACAGACTATTATAAAGACCCAATTACTGACATGTACGAAGACTGTTACTACGGTCCAGGCTATCAAAGAGAGCAACAAATGATGGGCTCTACCTTCGCGTTCGGAACCGAGAGAAATCCTCAATATGGGCCCAGGGCTCAAAATTACTATCATTCGCGAACTTTTCAAAATTATAATCAAAATCGTTATCACCCGGGAGTAATAGGTCGAAGAAGATGAAGACTCGGAGGAGGCTAAATTGCGACATAAATCAGATCCTTCGATAATCTGCAACTGTCCATTCTGCCCAAAGGGAGAACGCCGAGACGTATACGATCATTTAAACGGGTCGGGCGCTCGTCAATCGGAGGCAATGGCGAGTATGCCCGTCCAGTCTCCGTCTACTACAATGAGGATCCCCAACAGTTACCAGCAGTATCCAAAGGGCCAATATCGGGGCTTCCAGAATCAATACCCCCGATTGATTCTTCAAAACTGGCAGAAACAGGTCATAGAACAACAATCGACGATCACAGAACCGATACCTCTCTCAAGACCGGAACAGCAGTCAACACAGAGCAGTATGATGTCACCGGGACAACAAAATCCGCAACTGATGACTGCAGGAGAGTTGCGAGTCCAACCAAGGACGAGCCAAAATGCCTAACAACAGGAAGAGGCCCGTCAGTCCATCTACAAAGTCCAGCGCTTCGAAACGGGGGAGTAAACGCCTTTCTCGACACCAGCTTCGACCTCAATCTGCTTTGTATAGAAGAATTACACGACGAAGCCCTTTGCAACATCGAAAATACAGGAGTAGTCGGAGGTATTGCCACAAGCTCGATGCCTATAACCGGTTCGATAGATCTTAAGATATTCGGCGTGAAAACTACGTTCCATCTCGTTCCAGAACCTCCCGGCGGTTATAGGGCCATTTTAGGGAATGAATTTTTCATCCAAAATCGTGTAAACATTTCATTTTATTGGAACACCTTAGTAATGAAAAATAGGCCTATAAGTCCAATACCGATAATTAACCCACGGAAGTTCCTTGAGCAAAAGATCCTCGCTCTAGGAACTGGGCCGAAAATATATTTATCGTGTAATCAGCTCCTAGGGAATTATCAGCGATTCCTCATCGATACCGGGGGGGAAGTATGCCTCATCAATGCATCCGCTTTAAAACCCGAAACAATTATCGACATTGGAAAAGCTAGAAGATTCCGAGGTCTCAGTGACAGTACCTTCGAGACACTAGGAGTAGCCAAATTAAAAATTCTAAATATCGAAGTCGAGTTTCAAGTTTGTCGCGAGGATTTACTATTCTCCGAAGTGGGAATCCTGGGAAACAACTTCCTTGAAACCGAAAAAGCGGAAATTTCTTATGATAATCAAACTCTAGCTTTATTATCTCGTCCTACAAAAATAATCTCCTTTAGCCTCGAAACAACGCCTTCCTCAAATTATACGATACCACTCCGTATGAAAATGGTAATAGCAATACCTATCCAAGATTTCGAGAAAAGCGAGGGATACCTCCCTCGAATGGACCTTCCAGACGGAGTGCTCGGAGGAGAGGCTGTTGTTAAGGTAGAGGACGGATATGCTACTTGTATGATTATCAATCTTAATTTGAACTCAGTAGACATAGAAATCGGACCACAAATACTCGAAGAGTTTGAGTTCGATAATCCTAGCTCAGACAGCGATGAGTCCGATGATCCTTTGATAGAAAATTCCAGTCGTATAGTTAATCCGGAAGAACGTATCAAAACGATACTTCAGAAAATTCCTCTGAATCATCTAAACGAAGATGAAAGAGAGTAAGTCCAGACTCTCATTCGAAACAATCACGATGTTTTTCATCTTCCTGGAGATAAATTAGGTCGTTCAAAAAATTTCGCCTGCCGGATAGAAACTACCACCAATGAACCGGTGAGAATAAAACAATACCGATTTCCCCCAGAACATCAAGAAGAAATCGCCAGGCAGGTTGAAAATCTCGAAAAACAAGGGATCATAAGAAAATCTAATTCTCCGTAAAATTCACCATTGTGGATTGTACCAAAAAATTCTAATGATCCTTCTATAAAAAAATATAGAATGGTTATCGACTTCAGACAATTAAATAAAATAACCAGGGGGGATGCCTACCCTCTTCCCCTAATTATTGATATTTTAGACCAATTAGGTGATGCAAATTTCTTCAGCGTCTTTGATCTGGCCATGGGATTCCACCAGGTCCCAATGCATCCCGCAGATGCGCCAAAAACGGCATTTTCTACGCCAGACGGACACTGGGAATATTGTTGTATGCTCTTGGGTCTAGAATGTGCCCCGTCTATCTTTCAGCGAATGATGGACTCCACGCTAAGCGGGTTAAAAGGCACAGAACTTTTCATTTATATAGACGATTTAGTTAGTTATGGCAAAACCCTAAAAGAGCATGGGGTAAGATTCCAACGACTCTTCAATCGATTAAGAGAAGCAGGTCTCACGCTTCAACCCGAAAAATGTAAATTTCTCTGTCCAGAGGTAGATTATCTAGGTCACGTAATAACTAAAGAAGGCATAAGACCAGATCCAAAGAAAGTTTCATCTCTTAAAAATGTCTCACGACCTAGAAATCATACTGAAGCCAGGAAATTTATGGGACTTGCAAATTACTATCGAAGATTCATACAAAAATTTTCCGAAAGGGCTAAGCCCATAACGGACCTTACTCGGAAAACTAAACCTTTTGTATGGACAGAGGAAGCGCAAATGGCATTTAATGATATTAAAAATGCTCTCTGTGAGGACTCTTTCTTAAAATATCCAGATTTTAACAAACCCTTCATTCTAGTTGTCAGCGCGTCAGACTCGGGAATATCCGGAATCCTCAGTCAAGCGACGACAGTAGGGTACGATGACCTAGAAAGAGACGGAGAGAAAATAGTGTCATGTGTCTCGCGAGTCTTTCACGACACAGAAACACGATATACTGACGTAGAAAAACAATGCCTCGCGGTAGTATATGCGATTCAACAGTTTAGACCGTATCTTCAAAAACATTTTACTTTAATAACTAGTAGCCCTTGTATCACCTGGTTAAGAGATAGCGTAACTGTCACCGAAAGACAAGCTAAATGGCGCTCTCATTTAAGTAGATACAAATTTAACGTCGTAGTCCGTCATTAAATCACGGAACAATATGCGGAAGGGCTCTCGTATAACCCGGAAGGACGCCAGGAACCTCGAAAACATCCTATAAACGATACTACCGAAAATCATTCGCTAGCATTACCAATCTCTGCATTACCAAAAACAAAAAAATCGAATAAAAAGCTCTCCGACGAAAAGGCGATTCAATCAATCAAACGCCCCAGTCGCCCTCTCGGGTCTAAAAATAGGCCAAGAGTAAGGAGCGCTCCAGAAATAAGAGAGACGATTGCCTCTCGTCTCAGAAGAAGAGAATTAGGTAAAACGCGAGTCCCACCAAAAATAAATTATCGCGAAACCGGCAGACTGGTTATAAACTCAGAAGATCCCGAGTCACAAGAAACTGCAAATGAAGAACAGGGGGACGACGAAGTCTTCTTACCAGTCTCCATCTCAGGACCATCCACGAATAATTCAACTCCAGACGTTGGACAAGAGGGGGACGATAAAGCGGAGAAAGATGATGAAACCGACAAGGACAACGAAACGACCGTTCCACAAAAACAACGGCGAAAACCTCGCGAACTAGTAAAGATGTTCGATGAACTCCTCCAAAGGCGGCCTCCATCGAAAAATACCTACACAGAGAGGGCTCTAGAAAGAATCCGCAGAGAAGAAGCAATATCTAATTATACTCCCCACGAGTACGCCGAGATAAAACGAACTAGTTCCGACACCGCGAAAAATATTCGCCAATCATTAAACAAACTTCCACCTCTCTGGCGAAGTAAAGAAGACTCGTTAAATGAAGACACCGCACCAGAAATTAATGTCGACAAATTTCTGAGAGACAACTCGATCGCGATTCACAGGATATTTAGGCGACGGTCCAGAACCCCGAACTCCAATATTTGGAAGAGTTCTCATTCCTGACGAGTTAGCGGCCATGGGTATTTGGGTATACGTTACGACCATGTGGGCGGCCAAATCGTAGACGAAAACGGTAAGGGAGTAAATGAAACGGCCGAAACCGAATCGGCCGACCCAAACAACACCCTTATTGAATCGGAAGGGGGACGATCGAGCGAAAAATCGCCAAATATAAGTAAATTAATAAATTCACAAAATAATAATAATAAAAATAAATCGCGCAATAATTCGGAATATTCTAGCGATCCGGATAAATCTGACGATAGACCGACTATAAGCGGGAATAAAACAGGGGGATGATGTAGGGAACCATCGATTCGGTCCACCCTTTGTCGCCTACGATCCTCCAACATTCGAAGAAGCAGAGGATATTTTCGCCGAAAGACATCATCGGCCAAAATTATCTTCACCCTCGAGTTCCGATAAAAATGTACCGCCGAAAAGTCCCGAAATCAAAATAAAATTTTCAGTCAGCCGTGATGGGCTCACTTATGCCCGAGATCACTTAGTGCACTTTCTAGCAGCTGATTGCGAGATAATAAAACCAGTAGCAAAACTACTCCGTGATTTAGAATTTATAAATGCCGATGCCCTCCATGCATCGAAACCTTCAAAGGGAGATGTATTCGTCACCAAGTTAGGTCGTTGCAAAATCTTCACGGTGTTTATTAAAACGAAACATTTTGAAAAATTAGATCCAATTGACTTAATCGAAGGATTAAGAAATCTTCGACAATCGATGCACAAACATGATATCCATTCGCTTCGCTGAGCAAAACAGGGGGACGAATTTGACGACCTAGATATCCTAGCATATTTATTACAGGAGTTAAGAGATTATCCGATAACGATTACTTTGTGCGAAGGGAACGTCGAGGTGCCAGACGAATCCCTCCGAACAAAAATAATCGAAGAAAATCATAATAGCTTAATAGGAGGCCATAAAGGTGTAGTAAAGACATATTGGCGTATTCGCGAGAGATATTACTGGCCAGGAATGAAAGATACAATTTATAATTACATCAGAGCCTGCGAAATATGCCAGAAAAATAAATTCACGCGAATAAAAACGAAACAGCCTATGTCTATTACAGATACACCCTTTGAACCTTTTGAAAAAATTAGTATAGACACTGTAGGACCTCTACCCATGACTTCCGATGGAAATATACATATCTTAACTATACAAGATAATTTTTCTAAAGCAGCCGCGGCAGTTCCTCTCCCCGATATCAGAGCAGTCACTGTTGCGGATGCTTTATTAAATCACTATATCGCTCTTTACGGGTGCTCCCGCGTAATTCTATCAGATAAGGGCACCTCATTTACCAGTAAACTAATACAACAACTTGCTAGAGCTTTAAAAATTCAAAGAATAACAACTTCATCTTATTACCCTCAATCGAACGGATCTTTAGAGAGATCTCATCAGCCCTTAGTCGATTACCTCCGGGCTTATGTAGATAAATTCAATAACTGGGATAGGTATATCCCAATGGCAATGCGAAATTATAATACAACCGTTCATACAGCCACAAAATTTACACCTTACGAAATTTTGTACGGAAGAAAAGCTCGTAGCCCAACTCAATTCCCAGATTTCAGTAAAATCGAATCGTATAACGATTATTTAGCAGATTTAATTAGTCGAATATCCGAAATTCAAAGAATGTCCGCAGAAAATTTAACTCGAGCAAAACACGAATCAAAAGTACGATTCGACAAACATATTCATCCAACAAAATTTAAGGTAGGAGATCTCGTGTACACGCTGAAAGAACCGAGGAAAAATAAATTAGACCGTTATTATACCGGACCGTACAAAATAGCTGAAATAAATGAAATGAGAAACTTAATTATCGAAAAAGAAAACGGAAAACGAAAATTACTTCACCCGAATAAGGCTAAACCAGCCAGTTGCGAAAAATTTTACTAAAAAGCAATCCAAGTCGTCTGTTTCAGAGCAAGAAAAAAAAATCAATCCAACATGAACATTGTATTACTTCTCTTCCTGGGGCTCTTACACCTGTCCTGGGGCTCAGGAGAAGTCCAAAATAAAACCATTGTACGATCCATTCAAGAAAATCAACTGGTCATACCCGAGAGCCAATAGCCATCAAGAAATGCAGACAGAAATTGAACAAGTACAACATCAACTGAGACAACTACTCCTCGAAGATCTACGACTAGAAGAATTCGACCCATGAAACCTCACCAAGAGACCTCCTTGATTCGGCTTCGTAGGCACAATCATACGAGAGTTGTTCGGAACCATAAAAACACTAAACATTAATTCAGCTACGATTATCGATAAATTCGAGCGATGAGGCCAAGGGCTAGAAGAAAATGAAGAAAAATGTCACTCATAGCCCTACACCACCAAAAAGAAGAAACCAATAGTAGATAAAGAACAGGGGGACGACGAAATCTTCCTACGAGTCTCTACACCAGGATTAACTACGAGTAATCCGACTTCAGACATTGGCCAAGAGGGGGACGACGAAACAAAAGTCAACGAACCACTTCCAACAAGAACCGACAACGACAACTCCTCCACGGCAGCAACAGTAACAACCAAAGAAGCTCCTGAGACCATCAAGACATCAAAGGAGTCGGAACCATCCCGACTGAGAGACTACAAATCACCGATTTAGACAACAATCCCGGCATCAACATCGTAAAAGTTAAGATCATTTATAAAATTTTTTTTTACAAACTGATGGCTCCTTTACGGAAAAGTAAGAAAATAACTTTAAATGATAACAAAAATTTTTTTTTCTCTCTTATAAAAAAAATTTCGTTTTAACAAAAATTAAAATTGCCAAAAACGAGCCAACAGTTTGTATAAAACAGTTAAAATCTAGAAATCATAAATAAAATTTAATTTTTTTTTCAAATATTTTCATATATAGTAGATAGTATAACGAAAAACAGTACATTTCTTTAAATTCTGAAAAAGTTTTGCTGCTTTATGACTCACAAGACCGAAGATAAAATTATCCTCGGCCTTAGGGGGACGAGTGGGAACAGCACAAAACCCCGATTAAATTTTTTCTCTTTATAAAAAGTCACTATTCATTTCAAAAATTTTTTTATTTTACTTTTTCATTATACTATCACTATAATTTTATTAACAATACATTAAATAAAATTTTTCTTTATATATAATTAGTATAAATAATAACTGAAATATAATTATTATAAGTAATAACTAATACTTTATAAATAATAACTAAAAGAAAATCGAGCTAACGTCACTCATATAAAATTTTTCAAAAAAATTAAGAAATCATAAAATTTTTTTCCTATAATTCAAAAGGATTATTTCAAACATCTAATATTCAACAAGAATAAATATAAGTAATTAAGAGGACAGGGAGAGTCATCTAATGGCAATTATAATAAAGCCGCTGCACACGTACTCACATATACCCATTGATCGAGCTATATAAACCGTTATAAAATTTCCTTTTTCTCTAAAGTAAGCTTTTATTCTTTTGTTTTTTTTGCTTTCTTTTCTTTTCAACTTATTTTCTTTCTGTTATTATCTCTTCTCCACCTAAAGCTATTACTTATCCTATTTCTATTTATTACTTATACTACCGTTACAACTACCTGAATCATTATGGTATAGGAGAGAAGGCATAGGCATTATATAAAAAAAAAATTTAAACCAAATTTTTCCTTTTTTCTATATTTATTTAAAATAAAATAAAAAGAAGAAGACAGAAGGAAAATTTTCCTAATATTTATATATATGTTCACTTATACATATAACGCAGAAGCAGAATAATCTGCCATTTAATCTCCATTGCCAGCCACACAATATCATCTGATACGCCTAAAAGGAATGACAGATAAATTGATCTCTTGGCAAGAGATGAAACGATTGGAATATACTTGTTATATTACAAATTTTGCTAACCTTCTCTCCACAAATGGCAAGGGCCATCTAGTACCAGGTACCGTAGTTTTCGAAATTTTTCTCAACAGTATACGACTCCTCTTCTTTTCTCTCTTCAACAAATCTCTTAAATGCAATGCTAGCTCGATCACTGCTGAGACAATAGTTATACTTGACACGGCTTCACAAAATCAAGCAACGAAGACGATAAAACATCCGTCAGCATATAATACAGCGCGAAATAAAAATATAAATTAAATTTAAATATTCGCGCCAGATGACTTCCTTTATTACTCTTTTATTATATTAAGAATATTTTTATCTCAAAATTGTAAGTGGCTCTGGTTTATGGAGAAAGTGGCCATAGGAAAACCGAAAAACTATACTAGCTTCTCGCTTTTCCGGGGGAATGTTATGTCCTCCCGCATTTTTTCTTTAAATTTAAATTACCCGCGCAGATGGAAGACTTCTCCATGCGCGAAAGCCATAATAAAATATAAGCTACGCGACTGCTGGTTGACTAGCGGGGACTTCTGCAATCTCAGCACCGCAAGTTTTTAAAAAGGCGATCAACAGCCAAATCCAGGTCTTTTGTTAGTTAATTCGACTTCCGCGTTTAACTTGACAGGCCCGTGCCTTGTAAAGTCTCTTGTCTTAATTTGCTCTGCACTTAATTCGAGTTAAGACGCGTTTTCAACCGGCAGGCCACGTATTAGTTTTAATATCTACGAGTCGAGATTCTCAAAGTTCTAATTTGCCCTGCACTTAGGCAAGGGCTCGATAAGTAGATAAAATCTAGAGAGTCAAATCCCAAAGTCTTAATTTGCCCTGCACTTAGACGGGATTTTGACCAGTAAGAAAATCTAGAGAACCGAATTCTCAAAGTTCTAATTTGCTCTGCACTTAGGCGAGAGTTCTGTCAATAAGTATAATATCTTTTAATGTAATATCTTTTAAAGCTAAATTTGCGCACTTTACCCTACGGGGGACTGGAGGACGTTAGCTCAAATAATTAAAATTCACTACAATAATTTCGATCTAATAAAATTTGTGAAAGTGTAGAAGTTTTGGTGTTTGTTAAATAAATCTTGAAAAGTGAAATCTGTTTTAAATAAATTCATTTCATTCACATAAGAAGCCCTTAAGATAAGCAGCCCAAATCCATCCTCATCCATCCGCTGCAAATACCAACAGAGGGTCCAATCAAGGAAAAGACCCTACGATCAGCCCCGGAATCACGGATCCAATTCTAAGAAATAGTTCAACAAGTAGTAAGTACATCTACTCTTTATTAAAATCCGTGCCAGTCTCAAACGAAGGCGTGGTAAGTTCGTACATCGAAAACGTCCCACAAAAATAATTAAACAACGGAATTAAAACCTCCGTTGCGTATTCTTTAAACTGTTAGTCCAAACCTCCACCGTTTACGCTACCACTCTAAAAACGCCCTTGGACATAACACATGTCTATAATAATAAAATAGCTTTAATTTAATACGGAAAAAAATTTTTTTTTTAAGGCTTAAGCCTTATCTACCCCATTTTCGTGAAGTTGCAAATAGTAGAAAAATGAAATGTCGTAAAGAAGTTTAACTTTTACCTGTGTACACTTGGACACTTACATATTTTTTTTTAATCATTAATAAATGAATTATCGGTATTTCTGACTTGAAGGTACTTAAATATAATGGAATAATAACGTTTTTTGAAGACTTTTTACTCGTGAACTCTATACCGTAAACGTTAATGCTAAGATCATTTTTTTCAAATTTTGGCACATCGTTAAGTTTAATTGGAAATTGAATACCTTTATAATTCAATCTTTCGCTGAAGTGACGATATCTTGGAGGGCTTTCCAGAACCAATACTAGTAGATGCAAGGCAGCGTTGACACACCACAGGAAGCAGAAATCATCATTGTATTGGATGTTCGTAACCGCATGCCTATCGATAACATCCTTCGGTAATCGGACGAAGGTGGAGTTTCCAACTTGAGTTGGTGTGAATCTTGACATGGTCACCATCAAGCTGTTCAGTCCAAGTAGACTCCACCCGGAACCCTTATGTTCAAAATCATCAATTCTTTGAAAAAATTTATCATAGACATGCTTAGTGTACTAATCCTGAAGAGATGTAGGAGGGAGAATCTCACGGCTTTTGGTGACGAAAGACTTTCGCTCTTCCACATCTTCATGTGGTTTCTGGAATGTGCAGAAGAATTCCACATTCACTTTCAACCCTGCCAGATCTCTCAAGACACTCTGCACCTTGTTGATGATGATGTCCCGTGAGTTCTGGAGAAATGATGCTGGATCTTCGTGACGCTGGTTGATAACACATCCAGTCTGGATGTTACCAGCGAAAGCATTTTTCAAGTCCTACAATTTGACTCCTTGGTTGATGTTGAAATCTCCACCAACTACTTGGTTACCAAGTCTAAAGAACTGATCAGTAAACCAGTTGAGTTGGTTGATGTATGCTTGAAAACTTCGTCTCACTCGAATTGTTTTCCCAGGATCAAGTAAGATTGTGTTGCATTATTCAATGGTCTCATCACACACTCGTGAATACCTTTTACGCTGTTGATCAATGAGCTGCAACCCCAACAGATCAGCATATGAAGCTGCAATATAGTATCTACCAATAGTATCTACCAAGGTTTTGAGAGCGTCTATAAGATCATATTGCGCCATTTTGGGAAGATAAGCACTTCACTACTGTCTATTTACATAATATTCTAGGTTATGTACACTGTTTATAGGTTATGTACACTTTTAAAGGTAATGTACACTGTTTATAGGTTATGTACACTACACAATAGTTTATACACACTGAATTTACACGAGACTATAGTTTATACACGCCCGATAGTTTTTGACACACTGGACTACAGTTTATCCACACAATAATTTTGCACACTGGACTACAGTTTATGCACTCAATAGTTTTTGCACACTGGACTATACTCGTGTACTTCACAACACTGAACTTCACTATATTTGAGTATTTTATAACACTGAATACTCTTTAATCACGAGAGATGTTTCACTGGAGACGTGTACTTCGTTTTTGTGAAGTACACTCTCGGCAAGCTGCTTATATAAGCAGAAAATACTGCGTAGTTACCCCCACTCCTCTACCTAAAAACCAGTTTGATGACGTCATCTACTACGCAGTTAGAAAATTCTAGAATCGTATGTCATCTAATTCATGGAAATTTCCCCCACTCTTTCTCAAAACAAGTCTAAACCTGTTTGATGAAGTCATCTACTACGTAGTTAAAAAATTCTAGAACAAAATAAGTCATCCACTGCGCAGTTGGGAATAGAACAAAGAGAACTGCGCAGTTATCGTGACCTTGAATAGGTTCAGACTTGTCAAATGACATCATCTTTTACTCAATAGAAGTAATAAAAGCTATAACCAGATGGCGCTGCGTGAAATCGTTCTCGCAAGTAGTTATCATAACTTCATTTCAAATATATAAAACATGGAGAGATACATACTACAAATGCGTAATCCAGAACTATTGATCTGTTATGGCCGAGCCGGAGGCAGGTTAATAGTTGAGGATATTTTTTTCTAACCTCAAAAAATTCAAAAATAGGAGGAAAAATGGCGGATTTCAGACTCGAAATGTCAGCCATTAGATTCAGATAGCAAGCACCAGATAGCAGCCACCAGATAGCAGATTCACAATTCAAAATGGCGGATAGCAGCTGACAGATAGCGGAATTCAAAATGGCGTATTCAGAATTCTAAATGGCGGGAAATTGGCGGGTAGTAAGATTTACAAATTGGCGGGAAGATTTCAAATCAAAGAATTCACCACAAGCGCCACCTATAAAAGCCGATAAAAAAGCTCAATCATATCCATAAATCAACTTCGGTAAAACATATCGGTCGTACCAACGGTCGGATGGCGGATAGAAGCCACGAGATAACAGATTCTTGACTCAAAATGACGGCTTCGAAATTCAAAATGGTGGCAAGTGATATTTAAAAATAGTGGGAAAATGGCTAATAGTGGAATTAGAAAATGGCGGGAGAATTCACCACCAGCGTCACCTATAAAACAGCTTAAAAATATCGACAACCTATAAAAACCCTGACCAAATCCCCAGCATGTCGGTAGAACAGGTCCGTCATATCTGAGGTCGGCAACATGGATACGAACCAACTGTCGGTAAAACAGATGTGCAATGCACATGAACTCGCAGATCTGTTTTACCGACCGGAATCCCCCTCCTTTTTAACTACTCTGACAACAGTTATTTTTCAGAAAACAATGAATTTGAAAACACTGCAGTTACAATTTATCTTAAGCCGATAACAAAAGCACTTAAGGGCCTTTACGCGTTTTTTTAGATTTCACTGTAATGAAATCACAACTCACACTTGTCTACTACTAGCAAAAGTCATTACTTGTATTAATTTCAAAAGTCTTGGGACTTAAATTTCCATTTTTCTAAGGCTGGAGTATCTAGTTACCCCGCGCGGCCGCTAATGCTTACTTTAATAGGTCAATGAAGATCTTCTTATCGAACTATCAAATTGAGTTTGTCTGAAACTTCTGTTAAATTTAAATGAATAAATAAAAACATGTTGTTTTAAAACAGTTAATGTGGTTTATAGGAAAATTAATTCTCACTTTTTACTTTCATATCATGTTTTACATAAAATCTCTCAAACAATAATTTTATTTTATTTTAGTTCGGAAGTCGTCTGTACGCGACCCATTGTATCATGCAGAAGATGAAGGGTTCTTCTCAAGAAGAATTAGTCTACTGGAACAGTTAATGCAACGTCCTGCCACAATCAATACCATATTTGGAGACCACAGATAATTTCATTGGACTCAATTTCTTGATTAAACACGAATAGGCTCGACATTAAACGAATAAGTGATCAATATATTATTCAAAAACACTTGAATTTTTTATCTAAATGTATTGTTAAGTGGCAAAAAGTTTCATTTCGATAATTATGACGCGTGACACCACCTTATTCAGTGTTCAAAAAGTAATGATTTCTTTGTCCTTTCGGTAATGAACCATTAAGATAAAAGACAAAAGTGACAGTCAAAAAAATTGTTTTTGTTCCGTGTCACAAATGCAGAAAAGAAATGAATTTTATCTACAGGTGAATGTTGCGACTTTCTCGTATAAATGAATTATAGATAACTTTATTTTAGAGACGAAGTAGCGAACTCCGTACAATTTTGTATACATTAGTTTTTTTCTGAGCATTGAACATTTGATTTTAATTCGCAGGTATATTTTTATTACTTTCGATATATTTAAGCTTTATTTTGCCCAGAATCTAGAAAATAAGAAGATTGTAAATAGCTTGTACAGAGACTAGTTTTCGAATGGTAATTTAGAATGAAAAAGTTCAATACAAGTTATGCACAACAAAAAGTGATCTAATCTATCAAATAGTGCCGTTAAATTACCGAAGTTTGCATGATGCCTCTATCAAATAACATGGTATTTAAATTGTTGAATATGGTATGATCAGTTAAAGTCTGGAAAAAAAATATCTATCTTACTCAACCATTTTTAAGATAAATTGAAGAGAATTATGTTTTACAATGTGCTAAGCATTGATGATACTAGATACATAATAACGTTAAAACATGAGAAAATTTCAAGTAATCCTCTAAATATATTAAATCAACGTTTAAACCGGAAAGTAATACTATATCTTGAAATGCAAACAAACTTAATCATTTTCAAAGAACGATTTCTTCAATTTTTTTTCTTACATACATTAAAGATAGAAGAAATTGAAATTCACTTCATATACCCAATGTGTAAAAAAAGTCAATGTACGTGAATCAATTTTCTAATTTTTTATTAAAATAATTAATAAACAAGATTTGCATGCCCAATACTAGCAACTTTATAACAATCAGTTTTGTAATGCTGTTATTATGAAAAAATTTATGTCTGCATGAAAGAGAAATGGAAATTTCTTTCAATCGATTTATAAATTTATTTTGTTTCAATCCATTTGTAGAATAATTCACCTCCAACTGAATTTTCCAAATATTTAGTAAGTCCCATTTATGTTCTACTGTCTGAATAAAAATGTACAGTATAAATAAATCAGATTACTGAAAATCTTCGCAATATTAGATTCACATCATCAATCATTCTAAGAAATGTAATACTAAATATAATATAAGACACAATTTTCATCAATTTATGTAAATTTCTAATGCAATGCCTTGTTAAAACCATTAAATATCTGATGATCTATAGAAATGGTATAAGTTAAGGGTAAGAAAATTGGTTGAAGAAACTCACATTTTATATATCTAAGATTACAGCAAAAGACTTTAAATACTCGTATTTATGTAAAATGAACAAAATAATACTCATCGAACGTTGCAGTTAACTCAATAATATATTTCCAAATGAATAGATATAATGTTGATGTAAATATATTTATTAATTTGTAAGATAAGTTTTTTGGTATACGATCGTATCTCAAGAATGGAGACTGGTCAATGGAAATAGAAATAAAAAAAGCTTATATTCGCCCCTACCATAAGAATTTGATCGGAAGTCCCTTTAGTTTCAGTTTCATTTTTTAGCGGTTTTAGGCTTTAGCATAACTTAGTTCTATTTTATAAATTAATAAAATAGTCGTTAAGTAAAGCTAGTTAAATGATTCACTTGGATCGGCGTTATACCATCGAGGTATAAACATTTTCGTCATTAAATCTCATTCTAAAAAAGTATCAAGTGAAACTGTCTATCTCATTTTACACTCAATAACCGTAAATTCTTAAGATTTATATTGTTGTTAAGAATCTTACGATTTTTTTATCGTTTGAATCATGATCTAAATTGTTAAATACGAGGAATCATATCATCAAAATAACCATCTACTATAAAATTAAATTTGTCGGCATCATAACATGCAAAGATGAGCTTATGAAAAGCGAGCTGCTAAAATTGGCACAATCTTCCATTTCTGAGTTTTCAAATTCGTCATTTACTATTTTGAAGTTGCACCACTGTAAAAACGTTATTTCTATTTCATGCTCTCAACTCAATTATGATTTTGCTTATTCCAGATAATGAAATTTACACAATAATTAATTTTGTTCTAAAATCAGGCTTAAATTGTACGTACAATTGATGAGTGAGTTAAAGATCAAATTTCTTAGAGAAACAAAATTGTCGTTAAAATTTTTATTTAGTTCTTACCTTAAGCTTAAGAATAGTCACGATTCACGAAATTTTTAAATCATAATTGTATAAATACCACTAACACTGCCGAAACAATAATATGAATGCTTAATTCGTGAAATAATAGTTATTATCTGCTCGTAACAGTTTTTATTGGAAGAGCGATAATTGTATTATAAAAATTAATTTGCGATGAAGAATATAAGCTCAAAAACACATTTTCACAATATTAAAAAAAATAATTGAGGATTAGAATAAAAGAATCTTGAAATATATCGTTGATCAGCTGGCACTGGCAGTTTCGCTCAAAATGTGATAGGGTTGTAATGTAAAGTTCAGGAGTTAATTTATGAATATGTTAATAGAATTAATAGTTGGTCTGTCATCAAATTGTATTATAGTAATGTCGATATGAGTAAATGCGAATATTTATCCAGAAGAGAAGTTCAATTAACTTGTATGACCAAAATACGGTTTATATAAAAATTGAA